CTCATTTTTAACCACACATTCTTCAATAAAATAATATTTTCCATCACATCAATAATTTTTTCTTCTTTTTCAACCACACATTTCCCATCATATCACTATTCAAAATCAATTTTTCCCCCAAAAATCCCTCCCAAACAAGCTCTTAGTATCTAATAGCTTAAATGAACTCTAACCAACATCGATGGCCTAACTATTGAAGGTGTGGCAAACTTTTAGTACTAGTAAGTTTTCTAGTGATGCACTTTACGTGTTGAATAGCAGATTCTAAAAATTTGTGGGTCAGCAATATTTCCCCCCCTGGTTGTTGCTGAGCAGCGATTGTAAATTGAATTATTCTTTCTGAATGAAGAAAAGAACAAAAAAAAATATGTGGAACACCACTGTGTGTGTGTGTGTGTATATATATCTGAAAACTTTGTGAGATTTGTTGGCTGAGGATTTGTTTCAGCTATTTGATTTTACAACATTGGATGCTGTCTTTCGGTGCAGGTTTATCAGCTAGGGAAAAAGTTTGTAATCGTTATAATTTGTTCAAATTCTATTTTCAAGAGCTGAGATTCGATTGCATGAGGAAGGCAATGAAACTTTTCTGGAAGATTGGTCATATAGAAATATCAATATCGTTGTACCATAATTATCATCCATCACAGAGAGCTTCTCAAGTAGACCATACTACTTCGTTTTTTGCAAGCAGTTGTAGTTCTACAATGAGAAGCAGAGATAGTGACAGCCTGTGACTTTGAGGAGTTGTACGCATCTATTTGAATCTTTTTGAGGGTGAAGACTTTGAATTAATTGCTTGTTGGGAATGACTCATTGGGAAAAATAAAACAATGTTGATTTTCTTGTCTTAAATTCAAGATGGTTTTGTGTACAAGACCTAACATCCTTAGGTCTTAAATTCGGACTTCTACTGATTTTTTGCGTTGAGCTTCTAGAGGGTTTGATGGTTTGATTGAATGAACATTGTTACTTTTTTAACCGACAATTCAATCATAATGTCACCCTCGACTTTTTTGTTCATTTAAACAAAGTTACAATATTTGTTTTGATTTTCAGCATGGCGACCTTTGATAACGAATTTAATGTTGACAATTAAGAAAATTGAGATAACCCAGAAAGATCAATGTGATGATTGAACATATGAATCAAAATGACCAAATACTATGTAAATTATGTATGAATAAGCAAAAATTTATTCAAACTCAATCCAAAATAATCAAATAATTTTTAGAGGTATTTTCCAAACTAGCCGGGTATATTAGATCCATTTGGATTTTTATCAAAAAGTCTATTTTACCCTTAATGATATATATTTTGTTTATTATAAAGTAGATCCTTTCTTTATAAATGGTTTTGACTATTGATATATTATATTTCTATATTTTCAATTCTATCTATCAATTCTATCATTTGATTTACAAGATTAGCATAATCTATAATCTTTCTTTTATATTCTTTGATAAGTTTAATATATTCCTCATTCGTTCTATTTCTATTTTCTAGTTGAGTTTTAATATTTTTTATT